CTACAACTACCATACAATCCAGAAATTCCACCCCTCGGTTTTTATCTGAAGAAAATAAAAACACTAATTCAAAGATGTATACCCACAGTGTTCACTGTTGCATTATTTATAATAGCCAAGATATGGGAGCGGCCTAATGTTCATCAATAGATGAATAAATAGATGTGGCATATATACACAATGGATTATTACCCAGCCATAAGAAGAATGAAATCTTGCCATATGCAACAGCAGGCATGTACCAAAAGGGTATTATGCTAAGTGAAATAAGATAGAGAAAGACAAATACTGAATGTTCTCATTTATATCTGGAATCTAAAAAACAAAACAAACAAAAAAGTAGAATAAAACAGAAATAGACTTACAGATACAGAAGACAAACTTGGGGTTGCCAGAAGGGAGGAGGGTTCAGGGATGTGCAAAATGGGTGAAGGGAATTAAAAGGTACAAACTACCAGTTATAAAATAAATAAGTCACAGGGATAAATGTACAGCATAGGTAATATAGTCAATAATACTGCAATAACTTTGGTGCATAATCTATAAACATATTGAATTACTATGTTGTACACCTGAAATTAATACAATATTGTAAGTCAGTCATACTTCAATTTAAAAAAAAGAGTGTTAATATCTCCAACTATAACTGGATTTGCCTATTTCCCCTTTCATGTCTGTCAATCTTTTGCTTCATGTATTTTGAAATTGTTGAGTGCATAAATATTTAGTTTTCTTATGTTCTCTTGATGAATTGGTGCATTTATCATTACAAAATACACTTCCTTATTCCTGGTAATATCCCTTGTTTTGAAATCTATTTTGTCTGTTAATAAGATAGCCTTTCTAGTTTTCTTTGGATTAATGTTTGCTTGGTACATCTTTTTCCATCCTTTAACTTTAAAAAGCTAATTTTTTTCTTTTTCATTTCTTCTTTTGTTTTCATCCAGTTTTATTGAGATCTAACTGACATACAGCACTGTGTAAGTATTGGATGTACAGCATAATGATTTGATTTATAAACATCATGAAATGATTATCAGTAAGTTTAGTGAACATCCATAATCTCATACAAAATTACAGAATGCAAAAGTACATATACAAAACTAAAGAAATAGAAAAAATATTTTCCCTTGTGATGAGATTGCTTAGGATTTACCTTCTTAATAACTTTCATATGTAATGTACAGCAATGTTAATTCTATTTATCATGTTGTACTTTACATACACATATTTTTCTTTTAACTGGAAGTTTGCACCTTTTGAGTGTCTGAATCCAATATCCCCTCTCCCTATCCCCAACTTCTGATAAACACAAATTTGATCTCTTTTTCTATGAGTTTGTTTTTGAAATATAACTGAACTACAACACTATATTAGTTTCTGTTATTCAACAGTGGTTTGTTATTTCTATACTTTCAAAATGATCAACATGATAAGTTTAGTTATGACCTCTCATCATACAATATTACATAATTATTGACTATATTCCCCACATTGTACATTTCATACTCATGGCTAGTTTACCTTGCCATTAGAAGTTTCTATTTCTTAATCTGCTTCACCTATTTCTTTCCTCCCCTCTCCCTGCAACCTATTTGTTCTTTGTATCTATAATTCTGTTTCTATTTTGTTGTGTTTGTTTAGTTTTTAGACTCCACATATAAATGAAATGAAAATATTTATCTTTCTCTGACCTTTTTTCACTCGGCATAATAACCTCACTCAGCAGAGTATCCTCATAACCCTGTTGTCACAAATAGCAAGATTTCCTTATATTTTCTAACTTTTAAATTATGAATGTCTTTATATTTAAAGTCAGCATCTCATGGACAGCATACGGTCAGATCTTGCTTTTTATCCAATCTGACAATCTCTGCTTTATGGTATGTTTAAGGCCCTCACTTCCATCTTCAAAGTCAGAGAGAGAGAGAGCAAAGCAAGAGTCAGGTCTATTATTCCTCATAAGATTGTTCCATTTCAGAAGGATCTCTTCTCTGGACCAAGGTCAGTTCAAGGGACAGTTATTAGGCACAGAGCACAGACAGTGTGGGACACAGAAGTTTGGGAGAACCATATTCTTCCTCTTCTGTAAGAATAAGACCTAATTTTGTAATAAAGTATCAGCCAGAGAGGGGAAGGAGAGTGATTGGACTGTTATGATGTAGCTCAGATGTGACCAGTTTAAGAAAGAAAAAAATAGGCTTGGGAATGGGAGTAGCTGTAAGGAGAGAGCCCACTTCATAGGAGAGCCCACAGGTTTCAGTCAAAACATCTTGAACCTTAATCCAGGTTCTACATTTCCTGCTCGTGATTGAGAAATACTATTAATGTATTGACTTATAAACATGTGAAAAGGAGGCTATGTTTATCCTTCATGATTGTGCGATCGTTTTTTAACCAAAAAAAATTATCCAAATAATGGCACTAGTTTAGGGAGAACACACTAAATATCAACTCTGAATGTTCCTGACTAGGAGTAGGGGAGGAAGCATTGCTGGTGATGGTGCAGGGGATTTTGCCCTTTGTGTTATGTAATCCAAACTTTACATTTTTAACAAGATGTCAGTACATAAACATAGTGGAGATCAGGCTCTTCTTGATATCAGGATACAAACTCCTTCCAGAATCTGACAAAAACCATGAACTCTTTCCAGAAAAATGGCCCACACAAAATTCAAGGAGGGTTTTTTGTTTGTTTGTTTAATTCGTCTGCATCAGGGCTTAGTTGCAGCAGGGTTGTTGCAGGCTTTGTTGCATCATGCGGGGTCTTGCGTTGTGGTGCACAGATTCTCTAGTTGTGGTGCGAAGGCTCAGTGGTTGTGGCATGCTGTCTTAGTTGCCCTGTGACATGTGGGATCTTAGTTCCCACACCAAGGACCAAACCCATGTCCCCTGAATTGGAAGGTGGATTCTTAACCACTGGACCACCAGGGAAGTCCCTGGGGAGTTGTTTTTTTTTAGTTGAAGTATAGTTGATTTGGGCTTCCCTGATGGCTCAGATGGTAAAGAATCCACCTGCAATGCAGGAGAACTGGATTCAATCCCGGGGTTGGGAAGATTCCCTGGAGGAGGGCCTGGCAACCTTCTCCAGTACTCTTGCCTATAGAATCCCCAAGGACAGAGGAGCATGGTGGGCTACAGTCCATGGGATCGCAAGGAGTCAGGCATGACTGTATGACTGACGAAGCACAGCACAGTCAATTTAGATCATTAGTTTCAGGTGCAAAACCTGAAACAGGGATTCAATAGTTCTATAGGTTATATTCCATTTAAAGTTATTACAGAATGATAGCTATATTTCCCTGTGTTATAAAACATATCTCTGTTTCTTATTTATTTTATACATAGTAGTTTGTATCTCCTAATCTCATACCCTATCTTGCTGCTCTCCCTTCCCTCCACCCACTAGGTAAGGGAATCAATAGACCCCTTGAACTCTGCTCATGGATCCCAGTTTTAAGAATCCTGATTTATATCAGTAAATAAAAGGAATAAAAATCTAGTTTACCTGTACAAAAGTAATTTATAGTTACTTAGACAAATCACTTATATTTGCATATCATGTGATACAGTACTTGGCTTATAATTATGTCAGGTTGACTTCGCTCTAAGTTAGATTTGGTGTAAAACTAAACTGCTGGTTCAGGCTCCAACTTTATCATTTGTTGTTCATATGGCAAACTGTTGCCTATTCACAATTTTAAAAGAAAAAATTAGAGTGATCTTTTCCCTTAAGAACTGATATTCTGCCTCCACGGTTTCACCTGTTGAAATAATTATTACTATTTCCCAGGTTGAGAATTGTGTGCTCTTACAGAATAAATTGGTAGGTGAGAGGTTGTGAAGCAGAGTGGAACGTGTTAGGCTTCAAAAGACAGGCCTGGGCTGGCGTCTCAGCTTCTCTACCACTTAGTCCAGTTCAATCTTTAAATTCTGGCCTTCAATAACTTCATTGGCTTTCTAGGAGGATTAAGGACAATATAAACAAGGAGCCCAGGCTGTATTAGATCTTACATAAATAGGGCTATTGTTATAGTGAGTCTTTAGTGTTACACAAGAGCAGCTTTATTGCTGATGGCTGCCAATGCCATAAAATCAAACTGGGTTCAGGGGACAAGAAGCAGCAAATGACAAAGGCTGATAACTGCTGCCATCCCCAAGGTGCTAGAGAGCCGGACTTGAGGTTACAGGTGTGTCCCGCCTTTGGCAGCCCAATGAAGCACGTCTTCAGAATGACATTTTATTGACCTTTCTCAAGGTCAGTGCGGTATCCAAGGTGGCTTACAAATCGGGAAATAACACAAGCAGGGAGAAACCAGTGCAATAATGACACCTTTTCCTTCCTTACTGCTAGCTTCCTTGTTTCTTTTTTCTCTGGTTCAGTGAATGCCAACCCAAGGATTAATAAATCTTCTGACATTTTTGTTTGCTTCCAAGAAAATACTTTCATGTCTGGGTAACTGTCTTCACCTCCCGTCACTCCTCTGGGAAGAACGGGTGCATTCTGCGAGTCCCCGTCAACCGATTTTGAGGCCAAAGTGTCCCCGGATTCAGTGTGGTGGGGAAAATAGTAGCTGAGAACTCAGGACACTCGGATTTGGGGCCCACAACCATTTCTGTCTGAATCTACATAATGGGGGCCGATAGCGCTGCTTTAGTTTCCTCATTCGTCAAGCGCATCCAGCCCGGCCTTGGGTGTGAGCGAGCTTTGTTCGCACTCAAGACCACCGGCGACCCGGCAGGACCACCCAGCCGGCTTGGGTAGGGACTCAGCCAGTGCAGGGCCCGCAATGGGCGGGGCTTCTGCCGCGCCGCCTAGGGAACCGGGTTCCAGGCTCCTGACTGCGTCTCAGTTGCCAGGGGAACCGGGGCGGCGCGCTTTCCGGCGCAGTCGTGCGCGGCGCAGCTGTCATGGCGGAGGCTATCTGGAGCACTGACACCGGAGAGGCCGTGTACCGCTCCCGGGACCCCGTGCGCAACCTCCGCCTCCGGTAGTCGCATCACCCCAGAGTCCCGTGCTTTTATGCTCTCAGATAATTGGAGCCTGAATTACACTTCTCCTTTGCTGGGGCCCTCACTTCCGTTTGCAGTACTGACCACTGTCACCCCGGTCTCCTCGCGTCTCCCTCACTACCCCGAACCCTCTTCACTCGCAGCTTCCAGACTCACCCTTTCAGGACCCTATGCCCCCCAAATTCCTCAGAGCCCTGTGTCTCCCTCCAGTACACTCTCGCATCCTCTCCTCCCTGGGGCCGCATGCCCCCCTCCCCTCCCCTCTGTTGCCTGCACCCCGCCACATCTCTTGGTAGCCATAATCTCTTCTGTGTTTTGTTTCCCCATCCTTGCTCTGCGTTCGTCTCCTGCTTCTGTGTCTTTTAACAGTATTTTGGGCTTCTTCTTTCCTGGCAGAGTCCACCTGCAAAGAATCACATCAAGCAACTACCTCCATTGCCAGCCTGCTGCCCAACTGGGGAAGGATCTCATAGACTTGGCCACTTTTAGGCCTCACCCAACGGCCAGTGGGTGTATAGTGGTGATGGGGCCCCTTGGGTGTCTGGGGAAGGGCCTAGGGCGGAGGTTACCTCTTAAGACAGAGTAGACCCAGGTCTATAGTCTGAGAAAAGGTATAGAGAGGTTGGGTTTCTTGTCCAAGGTCACTGGGTTGCTAACAGTTGAAGTCAGAATTTGATCCCAAGCAATTTTAACTACTGCTTTGTTGTGTGAAAAGTGGATAAGACGTGATTCCTATTATCAAGAAGCTGATCTAACTGTGGTCAAATGTAGTGAAATAGCAAATATCGTGCTTTAGGTATATTATAAATTTACCTCTAAACTCAAATGCCTGTTTGTGGCATTTATTTTCTTTCTAAGAGAAAGTATCACTCCAAGCTTGAAACTTACGATATAAACACTTTTTGAAAACAAGTTAAACATTTGGGTCTGCTTTGAAAATGCACTTTTATTTTTTTTTACCTTGCTGTGTGGCATGCGGGATCTTAGTTTTCCCTGTAGGGATGGAACCCATGCCCCCTGCAGTGCAACCACGGGACTACCAGGGAAGTCCCAGAAAATGTACATATTAGTATTAGTATGTGTTCTAGCATTTTTCCTTCTCTGAGAAGCCAGAAAAGTGAGAAAGAGAAGACAGTGTTTTTGTGTTAGGTCACTAGTCTCTTTGCTTTTGTTGTTTCTGTTCAGAAATATTCCTGGGCAAAAGTGTGAGCTGGTGGGTTTTGAAGCATATACCTTTGGAAAAGGCATACTCATATAGGAGTGTACATATTAGATTTAGTTCTTTTAAAAAAATCACTTATATATCTTTCCTTTTCTCTCTTAACTCTTGGTCTCTTAAGGTTACAGTGTTTGTGATTCTAGGTTTATGGCTTCAGAAATAGTGAAGATAAAAATGCCATAGTTCCTGTCTAGCAAATGTAGACAATTGGGATTGAGAAAGAGCTGTTCAGCCTATATCTAAATTTCAGCTCTTGACTCTGAATTAGATTAAATAATCCCTGGAGGACATGATTTCTTTTATTAAAGTTAAAGGGGTGATTAAAACTTCTTGGGTCTTAATCTTGGCTTCTGCACATATCTACTGCCTCTCTAGAGTGAGCACTTCATAATCAGTGAACTCCAACTGGTTTTGTGGCAAATATAAGACCACAGACTTTGGTTATAACCAACCAGAGAGCAGGAAGTGGTGCTAGTTGGGCTCAAACATTTGACTCACTCTGTTTTCTTTGGAGGTGGACACCGCCCAGAGGAAGCAGAAGAAGAGGAGGTTGTGATTGGGTGGCAAGAGAAGCTCTTCAGCCAGGTGGGCTGGTGTCCCTTGTCTGCTGGGTCTACCTGCACCTGGCCCACGTCCTCCTGCCTGGTCGCAGGGAAAGGTTCTTGATACATATCACCAAACTGATTTCCAGAAAGGTTACAACAATTTATACTTCCCACTGCTGTGTTTACAGGATCAGTGTAATGTAGTACCTGCCACTAGCCAGTTTTATGATCTTGAGTAACATGCTTTTCACCTCTGGGCCGCATACCAAAACAGCAGAGTTCCTGTCTTGGTATGTCTGTTCCACAACAGCAGAATTGAATTAGACTATCCGTCTGGTTCCTTGTAGCTCTAACCTTCGTTGGCTTTTCTGTCCTCTATCAGTTTAGATAAAACATCCTGACAAATGATATTTGACCAAACAGTTGTAGCGACAAAATTAAAATACTCTCAGTGGAACTCTGTTTCTTTGTGACCTCAGTTTGAAGTAGATCTGTACCAAAATGAAGCAGCCTGTCAGAGCCCTTTGGATCATCAGTACCGTCAAGAGATTCTGAAGCTGGAAGATTCAGGTGGCAGGAAGAACCGACGGATCTTTACCTACACTGACTCTGATAGATACACCAATTTGGAGGAGGTATCATTCTTTCCCAAGTAGACAGACTCAGATAGACTTAGCCAAGCTCTGTAGCTCCCTTCACCTTTGTTTCCCCTGGCTTTCTGGCTCGTGTTTTAACTCAGAAGCCTGTTAAGTGAGCCTGTCTGAGAATTTCCATGTGTTCCTGGCAGCCAGGGTGGAGTAGGTGGGCACAGTCTGTGGGTGGTGTGGCTGCTGCTCCTTGCCCCGCATGCTGGAGGGACTAAGGGAGCTAGCAATGTCTCTAATGCTAGGCTTGCAGACTACACACTGCAGGGAGCAGCCACTAGGTCTGATTTCCCCTGTGCATCATGAGATCAACAGGTGGATGGAGTCTAGAACCATCTAGATTAAGTTCATCATGGGATTCAGCCAAAACTGAACATACGGATTTGAAGAGGAATTCAGTACTGTATGGGGAATGGCTTATGTCCTCAGTTTGCTGAGGACAGCATACCCTTGTGGCCTCGTTTTAAATTTTCTTCAGTCACTATATGATATGTTCTATCTTCTCAGTGAGATTATAAATTCCTTGAAGGTGGGGAGAGCCTATATTTTCTGATTTTTGTCTGTGACCCTGTAGATATCTAAGCCAGGTGTTAAGTGAATGTTTTTGAAAGTTGTGGGTTGGGAGCATGTAAAATTTAGGTTGTCTGTTTTGGTAAAGAAAGGAAAATTACAGTTAGTGTTCAGTTACCTGTGGAAGGGTTTTTCACGGAATACTTCGTTACATTCGGCATCTTCCAACCACCTAGTGATGTCAGCATCTACCAGGTCGACTCACCCAACTCTGTTGGTACGGGCTTACAGACTGCAGACTCATTTCTCAAGAGTAATGTGCTGCTACCACCTTAGGGCAGATCAGGGCTTGGTCGGGCTCTTCTCTGAGCTGTTTGTGTCACTGCACCCTCCATCAGCGTGTGCTGTTGTGAGGTGGCTGCGCTCTTAAGGTCCTGTGAGGTTTCAGAAGGAAGATTTCCCTCCAGGTGCGTGGTCCCACGTGGCCCTGAGCAGCTGGCTTATACCAAGCTGCTCTGTTTTCCCAGCACTGTCAGAAAATGACCACCGCAGCCAGCGAAATGCCATCCTTCTTGGTCGAGCGAATGGCAAATGTCAGGCGGCGACGGCAGGACAAGCGAGGGATGTGAGTGCAAGCGTGGATGGGGCTGGGGAGGTCCCCATGCTCCTTCTGTGCCTGTGTTCTCTGTGAGTTCACCGATGTGTGTGTCCCACTCTGCAGTGGAGTGCTCCCCTGTACTCCTCCTGGGTGTGCCCCCTTGCGTTCTTCCTTCAGGCTCTTCAGGGGGTGCCAGGGAAGTGAGCCTTCCTGTGGTGTCTCCCAGGGAGGGTGGCATTCTTAAGTCACGAGTCGTCACCTGGGAGCCCTCAGAAGAATTCATCAGGAACAACCATGTCATCAACACCCCTCTTCAGACCATGTATATCATGGCAGACCTGGGGCCCTATGGAAAGTGAGTGAAGCTTCTCACTGCCCAACTCAGACCTTCATCCTCTTCTCCTGTCACTAACCATCACCCTCCCGTTACGGTCATCCCAGGTATATGGGAGGGAGGGATTTTGTTTCCTTCTTTTTCTTGGGAAGGAAATATTTCACTCTGACTGTTCTCACTGCAGCCTCTGTCTTCTCCCCTGATGTGGACTGAATACCTCTTCCTCTTTCCCAGAAATGAGGCCAGCAATCTTGAACTCTGGTGTTACCCCTGGTTTTTAGGCTTGGCTATAAGAAGCATGAACATGTCCTCTGTACTCTGAAGGTGGACAGCAATGGAGTGATCACAGTAAAACCTGACTTCACTGGCTCCAAAGGGCCCTACAGGTGAGAAAAGGAAGAAAGAGGCGGTGGAGACTAGCATTCCTTTCCTTGGCTTCACTTCTTGCCTCAAGTTGAGGAAGTTCTCAGAAAGCCCTTCGTCTCTCCTAACATTTACATTCCCAGCTGACAGTTTGTCCCTGGGTTGGGTCTGGAGGGCCTCGTCTCCTGTTTTCCCAGTTAGGCCCTTTGTGGCTTTGACCTTACAGAATCGAGACAGAGGGGGAGAAGCAGGAGCTGTGGAAGTATACGATTGACAACGTGAGTTCCTTCGCCCAGCCTGAGGAGGAGGAGCGGGAACAGCGCGTCTTCAAGGACGTGAGTGCTGATTCATCCGAGAACCGGAGAGCTGGGAGCTGAGGCCGCGCCTGAGGGTTGGTCAGCTGTGGCCAGGTCTTGCTCTTGATGGCCTCTCCTGATTTGGGAAGCCCTTCTAACCTATCAGACACGAGCCTTTGAGCCTGTTACAAGATCATTATGCTAATGACAACCTATCTGAGCATGGCCTGTGCTCTCTGCTAGGGCCTTCACATGCCTAATTTCATTTAGACTGTGCCACAACCCTTCGAGGGAATGCTTATTTTATGACCATTTTATAAATGAGGCAGTGGAGATCAAGAAGCTGAGCAGTCTGCCCAAGGCCGCAGCAGTGTGGGAGCTGGGTGGGTCCCAGGCCAGTGGACCCCAGGGCCTCTGTGCTTCATTGTCGGATGTCCGTGGCAGGAATGCCTAGGCACCCAGCTGTCTGTGGCGTTTCCCAGACTAGCATTCCTTTCCTTGGCTTCACTTCTTGCCTCAAGTTGAGGAAGTTCTCAGAAAGCCCTTCGTCTCTCCTAACATTTACATTCCCAGCTGACAGTTTGTCCCTGGGTTGGGTCTGGAGGGCCTCGTCTCCTGTTTTCCCAGTTAGGCCCTTTGTGGCTTTGACCTTACAGAATCGAGACAGAGGGGGAGAAGCAGGAGCTGTGGAAGTATACGATTGACAACGTGAGTTCCTTCGCCCAGCCTGAGGAGGAGGAGCGGGAACAGCGCGTCTTCAAGGACGTGAGTGCTGATTCATCCGAGAACCGGAGAGCTGGGAGTTGAGGCCGCGCCTGAGGGTTGGTCAGCTGTGGCCAGGTCTTGCTCTTGATGGCCTCTCCTGATTTGGGAAGCCCTTCTAACCTATCAGACACGAGCCTTTGAGCCTGTTACAAGATCATTATGCTAATGACGATCTGTCTGAGCATGGCCTGTGCTCTCTGCTAGGGCCTTCACATGCCTAATTTCATTTAGACTGTGCCACAACCCTTAGAGGGAATGCTTATTTTATGACCATTTTATAAATGAGGCAGTGGAGATCAAGAAGCTGAGCAGTCTGCCCAAGTCCGCAGCAGTGTGGGAGCTGGGTGGGTCCCAGGCCAGTGGACCCCAGGGCCTCTGTGCTTCATTGTCGGATGTCCGTGGCAGGAATGCCTAGGCACCCAGCTGTCTGTGGCGTTTCCCGTTCCTGCTCGTTTCCCCTCCCGTTCAGATCTGAACCCTGGTCTGGCTGGGACTGCATCTTGAGGCTTGGTGTGGTTTGTTTCCTCAGCTCTATGGCCGGCACAAGGAGTATCTCAACAGCCTCGTGGGCACTGACTTTGAGGCGGTGAGTAGCCCAGCTTCCTGCACCACCATAAGCTGGGTTTCTGTAGCCAGAGCGCTCTGACTCTAGCTGAGTGACGGTCCTCTCTTCAAGGTCCCCAAGACACACTCTTCAGTGTAAGAAGAAACTAGAAAATAACATACAGAGTGCAGTCCTTGCTGTGTTTTTGAAGCACTGCATGTTGATATAGAACTGTTGATGCATAGGAAGAGGTCTCAGGGGGCACACGCCTTCTGGGGGCTTTCTCTGGGAAGGCGGTGGAGTTGGAAGACAGTAGGTGGCTATTGAGGGGTGAGAGGGCTATGTCAGGAATGTTTCCTTTTTATTCTCTAAACTTAGATAGTTTTGAATTTTTATCAGTGGTGGTGCATTCATGTATTACTTTATTTTATTATTGCTGTTCAGTCGCTCAGTCATGTCTGACTCTTGGTGATCCCATGGACTGCAGCATGCCAGGCTTCTGTGTCCTCCACTACCTCCCAGAGTTTGCTCAAACTCATGTCCACTGAGTCAGTGATGCTATTGAACCATTAATTTTTTTTATAAATAAGTATAAAGATGAAAAATGTCTTCCTTACTCTTAATGTATATATTTTTCCTTCATGCCCCATAAAGGAAGGAGGTGTCTCATTTCTGTTCGTCAGATAGTTTGGCTTTTAAGACAGAACAGTTTGAGTCCATAATCCTGTGGTCCTGTTCTTGTCTTCTCTTATTCCAGGAGTTCCATTTCTAGATCTGGAAACAGAGATAGAGTTACTCGGTGGTCTCGCTCTCTGTCTGTAAAAAATTAGCTCTCACTATTTTTATATTGTATTAGCAACAGATGTTCAGTGTTAAAAAGTTAGATAAGATGGAGACACAAATAATTTTAAAAGGAAACTGCCTAGTTTCTTGACCTCAGCCCTCCAGAGGGAGCAGGGTTCTCCAGCCTCTTGCTGTAGGGCAGTGGGCAGCTGTGGATGCTTTTCTTGGCCATTCTCATAAGTTCCTCACACTCCATTGCCCTCTCCACCATTTAAATTAGGTGCTTTCCCCCTATGTTACACATTTGAGAAATGAAGGAAACAGATCTGTGGAGAAATGGCAGATGGGGAGGAAGTGTGGGTAGTTACATGCCAGAATTGTACGTCTCATGTCAGGTCCTCTGGGGGTTTATGGACAGTCTGAAGGAGAGGCGTCGCTTCCCTCAAACCTCCTGACCTGTTCTCACTTCTCTCTACCCCAGACCGTACCAGGTGCCCTCCGGCTGTTTGTGAATGGAGAGGTGGGTAAGTGTCTCACCAGACAGAGGTCCCCTGAGGCCTGGCAAGTGCCAGAGAGAGCACTGTGGAATAGTCCTCCCCACCCCGGCAGTGGCCTTGGGTCATCCGCAAGAGTTGTCGGGAGGGTTGTCGGGAGACTCAGGCTTGAGTCTTTCCTGGAAACATAGAGAGTTCCTGGCCCTCAGAGGACTTGCTTCCCCAAGCGGTAGGCCCTGCAGGACTGGGTCAGGCGTTAGGGGTGATAGGGCAATAAACTGAAACTGTTTCCTGTTTTCTTAGTTTCAGCCCAGGGCTATGAGTATGACAACCTGTACGTCCACTTCTTTGTGGAATTGCCAACTTCTAGTAAGTAGTATTCACAAGTCTCTCTTTTTACACCTTCTGACAGTTTTCCAGAGGCATTCAGTCAGGTGTCCTTCCCCACTCTTCCACTGAAAATGTTAGTGTTCTTTTCAAGGTCCTAGGTCACTTCCAAGATGTGAAATCCTGTGGGGACGTGTCTGCCTTCGCCCTCCTTGGTCTGTCAGTTGCTACAGCTCACTTTCCTCACTGACCCTCTCCTCTTGCCTTCTGGCTCCGTGCTCCTCTCTACTCTCTCGCTGGTGGCTCAGAGCCTTTTTGGCTGTTTCCTCATCTTCTGTTGACCTAAAACTATTAGAGTATCCAAGGCCAGGCCTGACCTTCTTTCACTGTCTCTCCACAGTCTTTCTAGGTGGCCTCATCCTTCCTGTGGCTTCAGTTTTGTGTGTGTGTCTCAGACTCCCAGACTTCTCTCTCTAGTATTAGCCTCTCCCTGAATTCCAGACTCATGCCCACTTACCTGTTTGTTGTTTCTGCTTAACGTGACCGAAAGCATCCTTGATTCCTCCTCTTGCTGCAAACCTGCCCTTATGATCTTCTCCATCTTAGCAGAACCACGATGTCATCTCTTTGGTTTCTAATACCAGGAATATAAGAGGCATCCTTAATTCCCCACTTTCTCTAGCTCCCTACCACCATTCATGCCATCAGCAATTCGTGTCAGGTCTGTTTCCCAAAGATGTCCTGAATTACCTGTTCTCTTGAGGACCCTGGACCAAACCACAATCATCTCTTACTTAGGCCAAAGCATTAAGTTTCCAATTTATCCTCTTGCTTCCTGTCTTGCTCTTACGTTTCTTTTCTTTTTCATTTTTAAAATAATTTTTATCTATCTGTGTACTTTTAGCTGTGCTGGGTCTTGCTTGCAGTGGGGGGGCTCCTCTCTAGTTCCGGTGCTCAGGCCTCTCACGGCAGCGCCTTCTCTTGTTGCAGAGACCGGGCTCTCGGGCTCTGAGGCTTCAGTAGCTGCAGCTCCTGGACTCTGGAGCAAAGGCGCAGTAGTTATGGTGCACGGGCTGTTTCTCCTCGGCTCTTGTGAATCTTCCCGGGCCAGGGACCGAACCTGTGTCTCCTGCATTGGCAGGTGGATTCTTTACCATTGAGCCACCAGGGAAGCTCCCTCTTACGTTTCATTTGCCATACACACCACAGCCTGACCGAGCCTTTAAAATGTAAACCAGCTGTGTCTCTCTTCAACTCAAAGCCCCCATGGCTTCCCTTCCCACTGTGAGCAAAGTCCAGACCCCATTCCCTGAAAGAGCTGGCCCCAGCCTCTCTCTCCCTTATAACATTCCAGTCGTGCTTCCTGTTCCTCAACAGGCCAAGTTCATTCCCACTCTGGTGCCTTTTCAGGACCATTTCCTGTCCGAAACCTTTTGTATCCTATCTTTGCACGACTGGTTCTGCTTCAGTTTAGGTCTCAGCCTAAGTGTCACCTCCAAGTGTCCCTCAGCATCCCTTAATGAGCTTCCAGGCCTCTCAGTCTCTTCACCCTGCTTTATATTTAGCTTTTATCACTTCCTGATGGTCTGTTGTTGGTTGGTTGGCTTTCTGTGCCCCCTCCCATCCCCAGCTAGAAGGTCAGCCCCATGAGAGACAGACAGGAAGCTTTTCTGTCCAGTCACTGAAATGTCTCCAGGGACGCACACAATGGACCTAGTGAACGTGACATGAGTGACTGATCACGTGCATGAGTGACTGAATGCGGAAAGGAGCTTTGTGTTTCTCCCAACTGCTCGCCTTCCTCCCAGGTTGACTTACTCTGTGTGGTCTTTGGCTTTTAGACTGGTCAAGCCCAGCGTTCCAGCAGCTCTCAGGAATAACACAGACCTGTGCCACCAAGTCCCGGGGGATGGTATGGCAACAAGAGGGGCGCCTGGAGGGAACAGGGCTGCTCCTGGCATGACATCCGAGGATGATCGGGCTGGCAGCCCGGGGAGGACGCCAGAGCTGGGTCTGGCACTTTGCTGTGGGCCCTGCAGGGCCGCCTGGCCCCAGGGTTCTCTGCCTTTTTGAGAATGGCAGCAACTTGCGTATGGGGGTCCCTTCCCCTCTTAGCCTCTTATTTCCTGTGTGGAGTGATGGTTTTTCCTTTTCCATTGGGACCAAGTATAAAACAACAGTCCTCCCTTCTAGGATAACGTGGCCTACTTCTCCTACCCTTTCACGTTCGAGGCCTCCTTCCTCCACGAGGATGAATCTGTCGGTGAGTGGCCGGGCCAGTCCCCGGCCTTGGGGCTCCTCAGACGCGCCCTCTCCCGTGGGGGCCTCCCGGGACCTGGCCGCTTCTCCCCTCGGCAGGTGCGCTCCCAGAGTGGCCCGTGCTCTACTGCGAGGTCCTCTCGCTGGACTTCTGGCAGCGGTACCGCGTGGAAGGCTACGGGGCTGTGGTGCTGCCCACCACCCCAGGTGACCTCTTGTCCCTGCCCCGCACGCGGCCCTCCTGCCCCCGCTCCTAGACGCAAGGCTGACGCTTCAGAGGACTCAACCGCATCCTGGGAGAAGCGGGGGTGACGGGGAACTAGAAGCGTGTAACTTGCGAGATTCTGTGCTCCTTTTGAGGGCATTTTCCGTCTCCGTTAGAGACAGCCGAGCAGCTCTGGGCTCTGATCTGGCTCCTCTGATTGGACCTGCAGCCTTGGGGGAGCAGCCTGTGTCCAGATGGGCTCTGAACAGACATGTACTGAGCGGGTCCCCGTTCCTTTTGAAATAGTAGCCACTGTCTTCTCTTGTGGAGCAGGCAGTGTGCTGAGTGCTTCTCATTTAATTCTCCCCACCACTCTCTGAGGCATAGGTGTTGGTTTTATTTCCGTTTTACTACATGAGGAGAATGGGGCTCAGAGAGGCTGAGAAACTTGCCCTGGTAGGAACTGGCAGAGCTAAGATCTGAGCTTTTGTCTGGTTGATGCCTACATGGCTCCCCTAATTCTCCGTGGTGACCTTCAGCAGCGGTCAGGCTGTCACCAGAGCAGGTGTCTCAGTGGTGGCGAGTCCCGGGTCACTGCTGGGGAGCCCGCGAGGGACCGCAGACCCTCCCCAGCCCTGGCTGTGTCCTCTTCTGCCCAGGCTCTCACACCCTGACGGTCTCCACCTGGAGGCCCCTGGAGCTCAGCCCGGTGGCTGAACTGCGGAGGTTTTTCATTGGTGGCTCTCTGGAACTGGAGGACCTCTCCTACGTGTGGATACCAGGAACCTTCAAGGTGACTTTTGTTTCTGGGTATGTTTTACCCTGGGAAGTTATGTCCCTGTCTTCTGGGAAAGGCGCAGTCTGGGTTAAGGCCCCTTACTCATTCATTGCTTCATCAGTTCTTAGTCTCTTCTTTCTGTGGCTCCAGTGGGAAATCTCAGCCACATCTTGAAGCACATACAGACGTCACTGCACTCCTAGGAGAGCCCTGAGAAGTAGGACGCTTAAAGATTCCCCCTGGCCCCCATCAGAGTAACTGCCCCCTCCCCCTAGCCCATCCCTGAGACCTCAGGAAGCAGAGGGTCAGCTGGCTTCTTAGAAGACTGCTAATTCTCAAATGAGGCTGGACTGTTCCCTGATTGACATTCGGGAGGTGATGGCATTTGGGTGCTGGGATGAAGTTTCCCCAACAGACCTGTTCTCCCCAAATGGGAATGAGGCCAGCATGGTGCCTGGGGTCTAGAAACCAACCAAGACCTGAGACTAACCGGATCCACAGGGGGAGCGTCTGAGCCGCTTCGGACTCCGCGCTGAGACCACAGGCAGCGTCACTTTCCGCCTGCACTGTCTGCAGCAGTCCCGGTGAGTGGCCCTGGCCCTCTGCCTCAGGGCTCCTGGTCCCCAGGGCTGTGGAGCAGCCGTGGTCAGGTGGCCGGCTCCCCCACAGGGCCTTCATGGAGTCAAGTTCCCTCCGGAAGAGGATGCGGAGTGTGTTGGACCGTCTGGAGGGATTCAGCCAGCAGAGTTCCATTCATAATGTTCTGGGTAGGCTTCCCCCTCCACCCAGGTCCAGCCACCACCCTGCCCCCCGCCCCCGATATCCACGTGGGCCCCATCACCCCCACACCATGGTCCTGACTCCTGTGTCTGCTTCCCTCACAGAGGCCTTCCGGCGAGCCCGGCGCCGTATGCAGGAGGCCCGAGAAAGCCTCCCCCAGGATCTTGTGAGCCCCTCAGAGACCTCGGTCTCCTAGCTCGCTGCAGCCCTGGCCTCTGCGATAAGTGATACCCACCACGGCCCGGGCCCTACCACCTCTTCATCTTTCTGGTTAGAGACCCCGCTGACTTGCTGATAACCAGAGGAGCTGAGAATCCTGACCCCCCACCTGCTCTTCAGCTGCCAAATGGCAACAAAGCCAGAGACCCTGTGGCCCACAGGTGGTCCCCTCTTGATGTATNTGACTTGCTGATAACCAGAGGAGCTGAGAATCCTGACCCCCCACCTGCTCTTCAGCTGCCAAATGGCAACAAAGCCAGAGACCCTGTGGCCCACAGGTGGTCCCCTCTTGATGTGTCAGCCCCTGCACACGCCCCTCACAAAAGGACAGGTGTTTGGGGGTAAGGCCAGAGTTACTTCTGTCCTTGGCACCGCCTGCTCTCTGGCCTGTCTCTTGGTCTCGGGGGCAGAGCGCAGCGGTCTGTCCTGCTCTGCACCTGCTGCACACTTGGGGCCCGAGAGAGAAGGCAGCCAAGGGAGCTCTCCCATTCCCAGCCCGGGAGCCCAGCCTCCTCTTCCCGCCGGGGGCTGGCTGCCAGCGTAAATGAAGGCTGAAGGCAATGTCCAGTCCTTTCTGCTAGCTGGCTAGTGGCTTTTATTGTGTTTTTTGTACATAAAAAGATTTTCTACCATCTGACGTTCTGTTGGCTAGTTTTCTGCTCAAGTCTCTGGCATGGCCAAGGTATTCTTAATGTCGGGGCTCCTAACACTGCCACCTTTCCCTGCCTTTTCCTACTCCAGAGTTTCTTTGGATTCTCCTAACTCAGCCCCCAGGAGAGTCTTCAAGGTTAGTGCCGGCTATGTCTTAGCAGCGTTCCTCTGAAACATCCGGAGTGAAGTGCACGACAGGTCCCACACCTCCCCATCCCCAGCTCAAAGCAGAAACAGCTTCTGCCCTCAGTGGTGCTTTCTTGGTAGAAGCAGCGAGTGCTGCCCACCCTGAAGGCTCCAGAGGAAACCGTGGGGTGGCTGGAGGCTGGGACTCTGGCCTCCCAGTTCTAGGCAGGGGTCAGGAACAGGCTGGGAAATGGACGAAAGCGGCTGGAAACCCTCCTTGCCTGGGCCTTCCAGAATCCCTTGCTTGGCTCTCGAGCCCTTGTACGCGGCGCTGATGTGTGACGTGACACATGAGAGGGTTGCCTGGCAGAAGGCTCATTGCTGCCGAGAGCCCCAGCCGTCACTCCCAGTTGGAGAACCAGCCATAGCCGGCAAAAGCATGAGCAGGAAATGGTTACTTCAGGGAAGAAGGTAGCCTTGTGGTCTTCCCAGGTTTCCTGGTCTCCAAGGTCAGAGGCCTGGGATGGACTCGTGAGGAAGCAGCACAAGTGGACAAGTGAGGGACTTGCTGGATGTCCAGAAGCAAAACTTTTTTAGGGTGTTGATGACTCAGCCGAGGCTAGGTGGATACTTCTAATTGCCCCCCAGAGCCCTGGGCCCTGGGAGTAGCTGTCAACCCAGAGGCTAGCATACTGGGGAGACACTGGGAAAGCATGTCCTGTCCCTAGAGGCAAGTTCTGTGTTGCTGCTTAGGGGCCTGAAAGGACTCAGCTGTCCTGTCCAGGGACGGATGAGAAGGCCTGAGCCAGCCCAGGCTGTCGGAAGAGGCCCCCTTACCTGTGGAGGCCTCATCTGCCTCTCTAGGCAGATACGTTCAGGCTGGGGGTGTAGGAGCAGGGCACAAAGCCCCAAGAGTAGAGCTGGCCCTGAAGATGTCCCTTGGATCAGTGGCGATACCAGGGTTGTCACACACAGTTCGAGACAAGGAGATGTGGCTCAGGGCCACACACTGTCTCTCAGTGAAAACACCTTGATTCTGCCCACAGAACCTACCAGGACAGTAGAGAGACGTGGGTGAAGGTTGCCAGGGATGAACAAGAGTGAGCACCTGCTCTGTGTGAGGTATTTTAACCACAGGGTGACATTATTTCATTCAGTTCTCCAAAATCCCTGCAAAATAGGTATGGTTCCCATCTTACAAAGGAAGAAGCGTGTTCAGCGGTCAGATAAATTGCCTTGGTTTTAAGTGCACAGTAATTTTAAGTGTTCAGGACTGGATTTGAACTCAGGTCAATGCTAAATCCAAATGAGGAGTCAAGTCTTAAACCACAAACTTGTTGGCGGGAAACCAGATTTATTAATAGCTCTTTATGCCTGTGTTTTCTGGGACCCTCAAGCCTGAAAGAGCCAGGCTGAGAAGTTTGTCTCCTGGGTTAAGGCAGCTCAGGTAAGTGGCCTCTCCCCTCTGACCGAGCCTCCTGGTCTCAGATCCTATGAACTTGGAAGCAATGAAGCTAAAAAGAATATTTCTTGAAGTTCTAGTGCTTTTCTGCCCTGCCTCCAGGGCTGATCCCTTTAGGGGCGGATCACTTACCTGTCTCCATCTCGGGCTCTTTGAAACTGGTTCTCAAAAAGACAAGCCAGGAGATGCCCCGCTCGGGCCCCTGGCAAAAGAGACTCTGTGATGGCCCTGATTCAGATGACAGTGTTGTCTGGTGTCCCATGCAGACCCAGGAACTTCCTTGCCAAACACTCATTTTTCAGAACCCGGCTAAGCTGTGCCAGATTCTGGGGCCGGGAGAGTCCACAGAAGCACCTCCAAGCATTATACCCTGTAGGTCGAGGGGCAGGAGCAGTTTCGTCTTCCCCCTGTGGATTCCCATTGGCTTCTGCTCACCACGATTTGTCCTGACTTGTCCCAGGAGAGCTGTGTGATCAGGCAATATTGAGCAGAACAAAATCCCTGCTGGTAGAAGAGGCCTTGAACTTTCCAAAGACCGAACCACTGCTCTCTGGTTTCCAATTCGAGCAGACAACTGTGTTTCGTGCGGACGCTGAGGAGTATGTTCTAATGTAGGAAGCTGTTGTAAACCAACACTCACCACCACAATGATACAGTTGCGGCATTAACTAGACACAAGTAAGACAGTACCCAGAATATAAAGACTTCCAGATTTGTAGAACTGAATGAGTACATCAATGAACAAACCAAGAAATGAAGACCATGGATAAAATTTAGCTGCTCAGAAGATGACCACCTGCTGCATGATTCCATTTATATGAAAGGTCCAGAATAGACAAACATGTAAAGCTAGATTAGTAATTGTCAGGGGCTGGGGTGGGGATGGGGAGTGACTATTATTACTGTTTCTTTTGTGAGTAATGAAAATGTTCTGAAATTACATATGATGTACAACTTTATACTAAAATCACTGAATTATATACTTTACAGGGTAAATTTATGATATATTAATTATATCAATATAATTTAAAATTAAGTTTTAATTTAAAATTTTAATTTTAAAAAGTTTAGATTAAAAATTAAAATTTAAAAATTAATTAAAATTTTAATTAAAATAAAAAATATTTTTTACCCACTCAGAAGCCAACGAAGACTAGCCATATTGATTTCTGAGCCATCAGGATCCCACACCAGGAACAAATCACATGATATGATGGGACCATCAAGATAGGAGATAGATTTGCCATGACCCAAAGAGACTACAGCCCAACACGTCCACTCAACTACAACTCCCAAACACCATCCTCAAGCTGAACAAAGGAAAACCATATGAAGTTTCCCATTAATAGGCATTGCTGTGTGAATAACTCTCAGGATCCTCACACTTCTGAAGTACTTTATAATCCTCATGTTATCAATGGGTATTTGCCAAGCTTGAGCAACTGTGACTTTTCCAAGGTCACCCCCACCGTTCCATAGAGCTCAAACCAGGCCTTCCAACTCCAAAATTTGGTATTGGGCTTGGGAAGGGATTAGTGGAGACTGCAAGAGTTAGGATGAGACAGCTTAAAGGGAACAGGAGCTCGCTGTGTGGCTAACTTGGGCAGCTAGCAATCTCAGATCTCCAGCAGGAGGTGCCACCACTCTATCAGAGCACCAAAGCGGAGGGAAGGAAAGACACTCAGGTTCTTTTTTTTTTTTTTTTTTTTTTTTTTTTTTTTTTTTTTTTTTTTTTTTTTTTTTTTTTTTTTTTTTTTTTTTTTTTTTTTTTTTTTTTTTTTTTTTTTTTTTTTTTTTTTTTTTTTTTTTTTTTTTTTTTTTTTTTTTTTTTTTTTTTTTTTTTTTTTTTTTTTTTTTTTTTTTTTTTTTTTTTTTTTTTTTTTTTTTTTTTTTTTTTTTTTTTTTTTTTTTTTTTTTTTTTTTTTTTTTTTTTTTTTTTTTTTTTTTTTTTTTTTTTTTTTTTTTTTTTTTTTTTTTTTTTTTTTTTTTTTTTTTTTTTTTTTTTTTTTTTTTTTTTTTTTTTTTTTTTTTTTTTTTTTTTTTTTTTTTTTTTTTTTTTTTTTTTTTTTTTTTTTTTTTTTTTTTTTTTTTTTTTTTTTTTTTTTTTTTTTTTTTTTTTTTTTTTTTTTTTTTTTTTTTTTTTTTTTTTTTTTTTTTTTTTTTTTTTTTTTTTTTTTTTTTTTTTTTTTTTTTTTTTTTTTTTTTTTTTTTTTTTTTTTTTTTTTTTTTTTTTTTTTTTTTTTTTTTTTTTTTTTTTTTTTTTTTTTTTTTTTTTTTTTTTTTTTTTTTTTTTTTTTTTTTTTTTTTTTTTTTTTTTTTTTTTTTTTTTTTTTTTTTTTTTTTTTTTTTTTTTTTTTTTTTTTTTTTTTTTTTTTTTTTTTTTTTTTTTTTTTTTTTTTTTTTTTTTTTTTTTTTTTTTTTTTTTTTTTTTTTTTTTTTTTTTTTTTTTTTTTTTTTTTTTTTTTTTTTTTTTTTTTTTTTTTTTTTTTTTTTTTTTTTTTTTTTTTTTTTTTTTTTTTTTTTTTTTTTTTTTTTTTTTTTTTTTTTTTTTTTTTTTTTTTTTTTTTTTTTTTTTTTTTTTTTTTTTTTTTTTTTTTTTTTTTTTTTTTTTTTTTTTTTTTTTTTTTTTTTTTTTTTTTTTTTTTTTTTTTTTTTTTTTTTTTTTTTTTTTTTTTTTTTTTTTTTTTTTTTTTTTTTTTTTTTTTTTTTTTTTTTTTTTTTTTTTTTTTTTTTTTTTTTTTTTTTTTTTTTTTTTTTTTTTTTTTTTTTTTTTTTTTTTTTTTTTTTTTTTTTTTTTTTTTTTTTTTTTTTTTTTTTTTTTTTTTTTTTTTTTTTTTTTTTTTTTTTTTTTTTTTTTTTTTTTTTTTTTTTTTTTTTTTTTTTTTTTTTTTTTTTTTTTTTTTTTTTTTTTTTTTTTTTTTTTTTTTTTTTTTTTTTTTTTTTTTTTTTTTTTTTTTTTTTTTTTTTTTTTTTTTTTTTTTTTTTTTTTTTTTTTTTTTTTTTTTTTTTTTTTTTTTTTTTTTTTTTTTTTTTTTTTTTTTTTTTTTTTTTTTTTTTTTTTTTTTTTTTTTTTTTTTTTTTTTTTTTTTTTTTTTTTTTTTTTTTTTTTTTTTTTTTTTTTTTTTTTTTTTTTTTTTTTTTTTTTTTTTTTTTTTTTTTTTTTTTTTTTTTTTTTTTTTTTTTTTTTTTTTTTTTTTTTTTTTTTTTTTTTTTTTTTTTTTTTTTTTTTTTTTTTTTTTTTTTTTTTTTTTTTTTTTTTTTTTTTTTTTTTTTTTTTTTTTTTTTTTTTTTTTTTTTTTTTTTTTTTTTTTTTTTTTTTTTTTTTTTTTTTTTTTTTTTTTTTTTTTTTTTTTTTTTTTTTTTTTTTTTTTTTTTTTTTTTTTTTTTTTTTTTTTTTT